TGCCACGTGGGTTGTTAGTAGTCATTCAGTCAGCTTTGATTCATGGTGACCTTACGTATCAAAGAATGAAATATTGCCCCGCCGTGTGCCATCTTCATAAACATTGGTACGTCTGAGTCCATCGTTGCGGATATATTTTGTCAACTCATCTCACTGAGAGTTTCCCTTATTTTCACTGACCCTCTACTTTACCAAACATGACTTCCTTTTCTAGCAATTGGTCTTTCTTGATAACCTGTCCAAAGTAAGTGAGTCCGTCTTGCCACAGTTGCTTCCAAGGAATATTCTGGTTGTATTTCCTATAAGACTGATTTGTTCGTTCTTTTGGCGGTCCACGGTATAGTCAATATTCTTTGCCAACACCACAGTTCGAATGCATCGATTCTTCTGTCTTCCTTTTTCATTATCCGATTTTCACGTGCATATGAGGCAATTGAAAATACCATGGTTTGGGTCAGAAAAGACCATTATGCTCAAGTTTATTATTATTGTACTTGTAGGATGTTTTAAATTACTGTGTAATTTGGTAATAAAAACGTATTGGTCAGGAAAAAAAAAAAACTATGTAACTACCATAAAGGTATTTATATAGTACAGTGGAAGCACAGGAGAATGAGTAAAATAGTGGAAAGGTGAGTTTTGAGGAGCTGGTGGATTTGGATATAAGGAGATTGAGAGGGCATTCTACAGTCCACATCAGCGTAAGCAAAGATCCAAAACCAGAATAATGAAATCATTGTAATGAAGCAGAAGACAAATCTAGAGACAGTGGGAAACAGGGTTGAATAAAATAAAGCAAAAACGGTCTAGGACCCTTAATTATTGAAGTTAAGAGTAGGATATATCTATATATCTAACACTTATATGGCACTTAATAAGTGACAAATACTATTCTAAGTGCTTTACAATTAATGGACTTTTACAATGTATTCTTGCAAGACAGTAATGAAAGTAATGTGTGTGTGTATAAAATTATTCAAGATTTCTCTGAAATAATCCTGTATATTTTGGGAAATAAGCATTTTCTATTTTTGTGACTTCTTTAAAAGGCCTATTTTATTATTATGATGAAGCCCATGATCTTTCCACCGTGGCACATTGCCTCCCCAAGGAAGATGGCAGTACTGCGAATTTCCTCAAAGGAAGTCTCAGGAAGAAGGCAGATTTAGACTAGGACTTTAAGGATAGTTATAATGGAAACAAAATTGCTAAACCCATCAGTCTTTATCCCACCATGACCTAACATAGGCCTGTTGCTCAAAAGGATCCATCTTAGTTACATGCGTATAGATCTGGGTTCTTTAGACGACTCTTGGAAATATTTGATGTAATGATTGTGATGCTTAAGGTTATATGTCAATTTGGCTAGGCCGTGTTTCTTAGTGATTTGGCAGATATTATGTAATCATCCTCCATTTTGTGATCTGATGTGAGTAGCTAATCAGTTGAATGGGGAGTTTTCCTTGGGAATGTGGCCTGCATCCAAAATATATGGATGTTCTGACAAAGCTCATCCTCTCTGGATCCTGCATTTGACTCATCACCCTCTGACCTCCAGTTCTTGGGATGTGAGCCAGCAGCCTGTTTCTGACCTACAGATTTTGGGTTCATCAGCCCCTGGAACCACATGAGTCAAGAGAAACCTCCAGCCTGATGCCTGACCCATGGATTTGTGACTTGGCTTGTCAGCCTCCACAACTGCGTGAGCCATTTCCTTGAAATAAATCTCTCTCTGTATATTTATAAGGGTCCCTGGTAGTCCAGTGGTTAAATGTGCTTAGCCGCTAACCGAAAGGTGGGTGCTTGGAAACCACCAGCTGCTCCACCAGCAAAATGTATGGCAGTCTGCTTCCATAAAGATGTACGGCCTTGGAAGCCCTATGGGGCAGTTCTACTCGTCCTATAGGGTCACTATGAGTTGGAATTGACTCGATGTCAATGGGTTTGGTTGGATTTGGTATATATATTTATGTATACGCTTCACCGGTTTTGCTCCTCTAGAGAACCCAGCCTAAGACAGTGATGTTTAATACTGGCACTCAGCAACAACAACACTACATATAAAGCAAGCAGTTATAAAAATAAAGCTGAAAAGTATAAGAAACTTTTAACTAAAGTTAACGGTTGCCTAGGGCTCGGGGCAGGGGATGAAGTGATTGCTAGCAGGGTCTGCATTTCTTTTTCAGGAGATGAATATGTTCTAAAATTGATTGTAGTGATGACTGCACAATTCTGTGAACATACTAAAAACCATTGTACACTTTAAATGGGTGAACTTTATGGTAATAAATTATATCTCAATAAAGCTGTTAAAAAAAGGAAACACTAAATATAATTACAAAAAAATTATATTTATTTAGTATATGGCATTTATTTTGTTTTAATTTACATACACTTACATGGTACTTACTACGGTCTGTGGACTTGGTTCCAAACTCTTCACAAATGTGAGCGTATTTAATGCTTATAATAATTTTATGAAGTGGATACTATTGTTATCCCCATTTTATAGATGAAGAAACCGAGGCACAGAGAGGTTAAGTAACTTACCTAAGGTCATTCAGTTAAAAATGGCAGTCAGCAGTAATGAAGTCACTCCTGAGGTTCACCCTTCAACCAATGATTAGACAGGTCCATAAAACAGAACGAGACTAAAGGTGCACACCAGGCCAGTGGCAAAGACCAGAAGGCAGGAGGGGACAGGAAAGCTGGTAATGGGGAATCTAAGGTTGAGAAGGGGAGAGTGTTGACATGTTGTGGAGTTGGCAACAGATGTCATAAAACAATATGTGTACTAACTGTTTAATGAGAAGCTAGTTTGCTCTGTAAACCTTCATCTAAAGTACAGTTAAAAAAAAAAAAAAAGGGTTCCACCAGAATGCTTAATGGTGATGTTGAACGAATGATGAGTATCATTACTGTCAAAGAGTATAAATATGTCAGCTTGGCTAGGCCATGTTTCTTAGTGATTTGGCAGATATTATGTAATCACCCTCCATTTTGTGATCCGGCTAATCAGTTGAAAGAGGAGTTTTCCTTGGGGTCGTGGCCTGCATCTAATATATATGGATGTTGTGACAAAGCTCACCCTCAAGTCGATTCTGACTCATGGAGACCCTATGTGTCCTGAGTGAACTGCTCCATAGGATTTTCAAGGCTGTGACCTTTAGGAAGCAGATTGCCAGGCCTGTCTTCCCAGCTACCTCTGGCAGGTTCGAACCGCCAACCTTTCAGCTAATAGTTGAGAACTTAACCATTTGTGCCACCCGGGGATTCCATGGGAAGACCAGTGAATATAAACACAAATAACACAGTCCATGAAGAACTCCCAGCCTAATCTAGATAAAATGTGGTGTTGGTATTTGTTATCTAGGATTTGAAAGTCTCTAAAATTTTCTGGATAGGGGAGTGAAATGATTATATTTTGGTTTTAGAAAGGTGGCAGTAAAAGGATGTACATATTAAAGAAGGAAAGTAGATCAGTTGGGAATGTGATCATCTAAAAATGATGAGCATCTAAATTTGGACAAGAGTCAATAACGAGTTTGTAAGAAATATTTAGTAATTAGAAACGACGAGGTTTAGAGACAATGTGGGGGGCAGAAATGGAAATGGGTTGAAGCTCATTCTGACGCTTCTAGCCTGGATGACTGTGACGACAGTGAGGCTATAAACCAAGATGAAGAACACAGGAGACTATTGAGAGGAGCTGAATTAAGGAATTTAGTCGTGAACATGCTAAGTCAGAGAGCTGACAAAAAAACGTGGTAATAATTGAATAGGCAGTAAGACACTGGGATTTGGAGGCCAGGGAAATCTCTATTTTTTTTTTTTTTAAATAAAATGACACTTTAAATTCCTTTTGATTTGAGGCATTACATACAAAGTTATTTTAAGCAATTCCACTGTGGCCTGAGGGCTGAATTAACCAGGCAACATGACAGTAGGACCACCGGTACAATGTTGGGACACTAGGCTTTCACTTGGCTCAATTTGGAAGAATGCAAATGTTGCTCAGTAGAGTTAGGTGTGTATCCAATTCTAATAAGACCAGTATTGCTGCAGAGTTAGCACTACCTTTTCCTCTGGAGTTTTCATCTAGCTAAGCCAAGAATTCTCAAGTCCTCAGAAGTAGGCAAAAATAAGGCGGTTCTCCACATAACTGGACTTCCTCAACGAAAGGCTGTGATGACTTTCTGAAAACAATGCTCAGGGGCTGTGTCTGTCATTACTGTCACATATTCATCCGAAAGAACGTCAGGCTCAAATCCACTTCTTTCCTGATTTTCATCCCTTCCTTTTTATTAACCAAAAGTTTAGTTTGCTTTCTATGTTATTTCCCTCATTAGTTAGTGGATGAATGTCAAACAAGGCCAGAAGAAAATAACTCTTTTAATATACCACTTTTAAAAGAGCACTTATTTCTAACATAATGTTGTGGAAACACGGCAGGAGATAAAAACTAATACACCGCTACTCTGAATCCGCCCGCACCCCGGCCGCCTTCGCCAGCTTGGTTCAATGACCGAGATCCGAAAGTCTCTCGTCAGCGCTGGCAGCACCGCCGCCGTCCGCCCCTCATTTCAGCCTGGGCAGCGACCTTAAAATCGCTTTCTGCCGCTCAAGATTTTGTCACTTTTTATGTCAGTGCCACCGCCGGATGCTGCCACCTATCTTCCGGATTGCTCCCCTTCACCAATTCCTCTCTACCCGGAACACGTGCGTTTTCCGGCGCCCGGAAGAGCGTCATCAGAAAACGCCAGTTGCCGCACGCTGCGGAGTTGCGCGTTGGGGGCTGTGAAGTTTTGACTTCTTAGTCCGCCGAGGAAAGAGTGGCCCGAACGCGGAGAGGGGTCGCCGCATCTCCGCGCTGCAATGCAGGTCTCCAGCCTGAACGAGGTGAAGATTTACAGTCTTAGCTGCGGCAAGTCCCTTCCTGAGGTGAGTCACGTCAGGCCCCCCCGCACTCTCAAACTCTTCGGGGTTCTACTTGCGGGGCAGTCGCTTCTCTCCTCAGCTTGGATCCCTGGCCTCTGTTTTATCTGGACTCTGACCGGCTCCCGATTCGGGGAAGCCCAGAGGCGAGGGACGTTGCCCGAGTGTGCTGGTCTGCACGAGTGGACAAGGACCTTACCGTCACCGCGCCAGAACCTGGACGAGAGGTGATCAGGGTCAATGAGTTTTGCTTGGACTCTTACAAAGTTCTGTAAAACAGAGGATGCGTCCCGTTGGGCTTCTGTGGATGTTAACAGCCGCTGTCACATCGAGGAGGAAAACGCGGACAGATTGGTTGACGGACATCTCTGTCAACGTCCTCCGTATTTTAATGCCTGCTTATGAGATATTTGTTGAATTCCTACTGTGTGCCAGGTAGTAGGGATACAGCAGTGAACAAGAGAAATGCAGACTTTGACCTGTAGAATTTATGGTGAGCCTTGCTGAACCCAACTTGATTCTATAGTATCTTAGAGCAGCAGAACTGAGAGGGGCTTGGAAAATCAGTAAGTACTAATCCTTACTGAGATCCAGAGAGGGGGGAAAGGTGACTCAATCAGGGTCACACATCTAGGCTCTGAAGCTTGTCTTTTATTTCTTATAAGTAGTCGTCAAACTTCTGCCCAAGCACTTCCAGTAAAAGGAGACTACTTTTTTGAGGGAGCACGTGTCCATTTTGAGTCTCTGTACATGTTAGAAAGTTGTTTTAAAATATGCCACTTTATAGTACGGTGGCACAAATGGCTAAATGCTGAGCTACTAACTGAAAGTTGGTAGTTCGAATCCACCCAGAGACTCCTCAGAAGAAAGGCCTATGATCTGCGCATGAAAGGTCACAGCCATGAAAACCCTATGGAGCACAGTTCTACTCTGCAACACGTAGGGTCACCATGAGTAAAAATTGACTGGATGGCAACTGGTTTGATTTTTTTGGTTTACTGTTGGTCTGGATCCTACCCTTGGAAAACATAGAATAAATATAGCACTGTGCTTGGGGGCCATTTTAAACAGTGAAATCACCAACAAAGGCACAAAAATGTGAAAAAATGTAGCACTAAATAGACCATGAAAAGGACACTCGTTTACAGTATAGGAGCTGAAACAAGACCTCAGCTGGGAACACATACAGTAGGCGACTCAAATTTTTGTCTTTCTGTGCATATCCATGAATGACCACAAAAGCGCTACAAGTATTGTTTTGGGGACTACAAATACGTTTTAGTGAGCAGGCGAGTGTGTAAATACAGAATCTGCAAAAAATGAGGAACCTCTTCAAATGTAGACTGTCACAGGCATCATACTCAGGGTCTTGAATGGTGAGCCTAGATGACCAACCAAAACCCAAAATTCTGACTCATAATCGACCCTACAGGGTTTCCAAGGCTGTAAATCTCTCCGGAAGCAGACTGCCACATCTTTGTCCCTCAGAACGGCTGGTGGTTTCGAACTGCTGACCTTTCAGTTAGCAGTTGGTAGCTTTAACCACTGTGCCACCAGTGCTCCTTCATGTATCTCATTAGGGCTATAAATTGGGTTTGTGCTTTTAGAAATGACATCTTGTAATTTTTTTCTTACTTTCAATTCCTTTAGGTCAGGATTTGTTAACCTCAACACTATTCATTTTGGGCTGGAAAATTCTTTTTGTGGGGGCTGTCCTGTGGATTGTAGGATGTTTGTTAGTATTCCTGACCTCTACCCACTAGATGCCAGTAGCCTACTCTCCCAGTTGTGACAACTGAATATGTCTAAATAAATTGCCAAATGTTCTCTGGAGGGTGAAGTCGCCCCTGGTTGAGAACCACAGCTTTAGGGTGATCATAATTATTCAGTGCTTCATACTTAATGCCTGTTCATGCAGTAGAATTATGCTGCTTGCTAAATAGAGTAATTACAGAGCAAAATCTGGTATCAGTGAGTATGACTTAAAAAGTATCATTTCTTTATTATCAAATGTCAGTTATTTGGTCAGTTATTTAATTTTGTTCTTTTTAAAAATGTATTTCTATAAGAAATGATCTCCGCGTAATGTTTCGCTTTTTAAAATTTCAGTGAAAATGATGAAACTGGTCCGTATATTAGTTATAATCTGTAATATTTGAGGATAGCTGCTTTCCCTTAGATTGATTAGATGAATTAGTATTCTGTTGTGTAAAACATAGTAGTTCCAAAAATTATATATATAATAATATATGTATAAGTATATATAAGAAAAAAAAAAACCCAGGATTTATTAACAGTAGGGTTAGGATTACAGAATAATTTTGCTTTCTGTGTTAAACATTCCTATAAGGTTTGATGTTTTTGATACGAGCATGTATTATTTTTGCAAGCAGAAAAACAATTTAGGTAAATTTGTTTTAAAATAAAGTCTCTCCATTTTCTTTAAGTGGCTTTCTGACAGGAAGAAGAGAGCACTCCAGAAGAAAGATGTTGGTATGTTATTTTTTTCTCATTTTAACTACATTAGTGATCTGTGTTATATGTTTTCACTCATTGTTATTAGATTAAGTGAAGGTTTATGAAAATGCGTTGGATTAATATAGTGAAAAATAAACTTTTATTTTGCCCTTTTCCTTCTTAAGAAACCTTTTGTCGTTGATGCTGTGTTTCTGGTAGGTGTGTGATCTGCATTGTGTTGATACAGTTTCATGGATGATAGCAGAAGACACAAGATTCATGGGCCAGAGAAAAGGGACTTTTATCATTCACAACACAACAAATAGCATGAACAGCAGCGTATTTGTGCCGTTTCCCCTTGTTCTGAAGTGCCAGAGGGGCAACTTAGTATGGCCCAATGGACACTGCTCATCAGTGGGTTAGCATTATAGTGGAGGAGCATTGAGCTTGGGAGACCCGCTGCTTTGATAGCGAGCGGTAAGCAAGTCTGCTGTTTGTCCATAGGGGGGATGCTGCCTCATTTTTTGAGGTTACCAGCTGCATAAGTAACTCCGAGAAATGGCTCAGGTAAGAGTGGTGAGGGCCTTGCAGCCTTGCCATAGCCAGTAAGATGTGGAGGAACACAGGAGGCCCAAGAGGGACTGCGTCTCCTACCAGTTTTGTTCTTCAGTGTGTAAAGTCTTGCTCCATTAGTTAAACCCATTTGTCAGTTTTTGAGGGAGAGAAATAATGAGCATTTTCTTTTTGAACAAAGTGGTTTTACATACAGGAATATGAACATGAACAATAACAGATCGTTGCCGAAGATTTTGGTTCTTTTAGTTGTTGCAGCAGGGAAAGTAGGAATAGAAAATAAAAATTTTTAACTTAAATCATTTTAGTGGACAAATTTCATTAAATTTTCTCCATTACAGCTTGTTATATATAAAAGATGATTTATTTTTCTATACGTTTATTTAACTTATTCTCTGAAAGTTATGTGCTTAGGGTATTTAAGGGGTTTCTTGATATGAGAAATTCTGCAAGGCAAGCATGTTGGAAGAGTAGGTTTTATACAATACTAAATACTAAATTTAAAATTTTAAATCAAAGGAAAGCAAAAGTTGCTGATTTACTAAGGTTTACTGATGCTGATTTGATCTGACTCTCCCATTCCAGTGTTCTAGTGTGTAAGCAAACATACTAGTTCAGATTATTTATGGGAAAAAAATTGTTCATTTAATATTTCTTCCAGCCCAGTTCAAAACTAGTAGGTGGCTTGCAAATTGAGTGGGCCAGGTCTCATATTTGGGTTTAATAAATGAGGTGGTAATGTGCAATAGGGTGATAAACAGTATTGCAATAAGCACATTGTTAAATGATAGCAACTCGAAAGAATCTACATGGTGACAGTCTTTACGGAAGGAACTGGTTTTTGTGAAGATTAGTTTTTCGATTAGAGAGATTCCATTAAGTCTTCCTCCAGTCTGGTAAGCACAGCAGTGCCAATAAAGGCAAAAGTCAGCTTGGTAGCAGTTTCTTCTATAATCTTAAAGTTTTGGAGGCTTAAACCTGTTACTATTTAGCAGAAAAAAATTATAAGCTTTTTTTCCTAGCCATAATTGAGTAATGATAGTGGTTTAATGTTTATTCAGCTCCGCCTTTATTCACATCTTAAAACTGGTGTCATGGATTGAATTGTGTCCCCCAGAAATATCTGTCAACTTGGCTAGGTCATGATTCCCAGTATTGTATATTGTCTACCATTTTGCCATCTGATGTGATTTCTCTATGTGTTGTATATTCTGTCACTATGATGTAATAAAATGGATTACCACCAATTATATTGATGAGGTCTACTAGATAGTGTTTTAAGCCAGTCTCTTTTGAGATATAAAAGAGAGAAGCGAGCAGAGAGACATGGAGACCTCACACCACCAAGAAAGCAGTGCCAGGGAGCAGAGCGTGTCCTTTGGACCTGAGGTTCCTGCACTAAGATGCTCCCAAGACCAAGGGAAGACTGATGACAAGGACCTTCCTTCAGAGCCTACACAGAGAGAAGGACTTCCCCTGGAGCCGGCACCCTGAATTTGGACTTCTAGGCTACTGGACTGTGAGAGAATGAACTTATCTTTGCGGAGGCCATCAACTTGTGGTGTTTCTGTTATAGCTGCACTAGATAACTAAGACAACTGGATACTTGACACACGACTGTGGATTTTTTTTTTTTTCCAATTAATGATGATACTTTCTTTTTTTAAAAGTGAAAATAATATATGAGCTAAGGAAAAACTTTGTTGTTTAGTGGGTGAACCTATATTGGTGTCCTTTTCCAAGACTTGGAAGCATTGGGAATTTTTTTTTTTTGCCTGTTTGTAGTTGCTGTGACGGCTTTGCACGCGTTGATCTCCTATGATACAGACTAGACACGTGTTTTATTTATTTATTTCTTTGTAGATGTTCGTAGGAGAATTGAACTTATTCAGGATTTTGAAATGCCTACTGTTTGTACCACTATTAAGGTGTCAAAAGATGGACAGTATATTTTAGCAACTGGTAAGTAATCTTTTTGGTATAATTCATAAACATTTTATAACAGGGAATGCTATGGTGGCAAAGGGGTTTTTTTTTTTTCACCCTGACATTTTATTATAAAACATTTCAAACAGAGAAATACTGAAAAACTGTACAGTGAACACCCAGTTATCTACCACCTAGATTCCACATAAATATTTTACTCTGTTTGCTTTATCATGTATTTGTCTGTCCATCTCCCTATGCACTCATCATTCCATTTTGTTTTTTGATGCATCTCAAAGCAAGTTGTAGGTATCAGTACACTTCTTTAAATATCTCAGCATGTATATCCTTAACTAGAGTTTAATAGTTATTTATGGCCTTTTGTTTTTTAGTTAAAATTTACCTATGAAATGCATAAATCTTAAATGTACCATTTGATGAGTATTGACAAATGCATATACCTGTAACCCGAACTTCTATCAAGATACAGAATGTCCCTGTCACCCCAGAAAATCCCCTTATGCTCCTCACAGTCAGTCCCTACTCCCACTCGTGCAGAAGCCACCAGTGCTCTGATTTTTTCACCACAGACAAGTTTAGCCTATTTTACAACTTTATATAAGTACAGTCATACACTGTGTATTCTTTTTGTGTAAAACTTATTTGTGTTTGAAACTTATCCATGTTGTCTCATGTGTAAGTACTTTGTTACTATTTATTACCAATAGTATTCCACTATATGAATATACCACAGTTTGCTTATTCATTCTCCAGTTTATAGATATGTGGGCCATTTTTACTTTTTGACTGTTATTAATAAAGCACCATGCACAGTCTTGTACAGGTCTTTTTTTGTGGACATCTGCTTTTATGTTTTATGGACGTATGCTTTCATTTATCTTTGGTAAGTACCTAGAAGTGGAATTGCTGGGCCATAGGGTAGGTGTATGTTTAGTTTTATAAGAAACTGCCAGACCTTTTCCCAAAGTGATCATATCATTTTACACTCCCGCCAACAGTGAATTAAAGTTCCAGGAAAGCTCACTTTTAATGTAACGATTTTAAGTATCATGTACTAATATTTTTTATATCACTCGGACTTTATATTATTTTCATTATTATCAAAAAGCCATGAGATATAGAAACTTTTTCTGTATCAGAATTTAGAACAGTATCACCCAACCTTTTTGTTTGTGATTTCACTGTGTATGTCCTGTGTGTTGTCCATACATGTTTTCACTGGTTTAACAGTCCCCATCTGTACCCCTTTTCCAACCCCTTTCATATTTGATAGAATGTTATGTACATAACCATGCTAGTCCCTTTTGTTCTGTATTAGGTTGTCTCAGTATTAACACTGTCCACATCTCTTAGCCTCTAGTTTTATATTTAGAAACTGCTAAAGAGAATTAAGGAAGTCCAAGATATGTGAATGCACTGAAGACCTCTTGAGGACTGGAAGGAACTTAGAGATTTAATTTGTTTTCTTCATCTTTTCAGTCCAGAGATATTAAGTGACTTTTCTAAGCTCCCAAATCTAGTACTTAATAGAGCAAGAATACAGATTAAATAAGAAGTTAAATATCTGTTCAATTACACTTTGAATTATGAAATCATCCTCTACTCCCAGGCAAAATTAATTGCTTTCCTTCTCATTCAGAAACCTTTGTTTTTATTTTTCTCTTTAAAAGAATGTTAAATAAATAATATCTGAAATGTGGCTACTGTGAGGAACTAAGTTTATAATTTTAACTTAAAGAGCACACATGGCTTGTGACTACCATAGTGGACAACATAGTGCTCAAGTCCAGAGTCCCTCTGGTTCAGCTTTTCTAGAGAGTCCTTTTTCTGGTATTGGTAAGGGAAGTGGACTTGGAGGTGTCACTTGTTTCTTTATTTAATTCTGTGGGGGTTCTTCTTTTTTGATCTCTCTCTCTCTACCTCTATTGCCTTCATTGTTTTTTAGGTCCTGTGGCTAAAATAAAAGTTGAATAAGATATGAGTCAGTCCTTAAAGGAATTTTAGTCTACTTGGGGAAATAGACTATCCAAGGAAATGAACCAAGAGGACGTGCTAAGTATTGATTTGTTACGAACTAACCAGCCACTTGCTTTGGAAGCATTAGGATTATGATCTTGCCAGATTCAAATCTCTTCTTAGGGCATTATTATTCTTTATTGGTACTAATGGGTAAAAGAGCAAGAAGACAGAGGGACTACTTATATTTATACTTGTTGTCAATTTTTTTTTTTTCCCTCATGGCCAAGGTAATACATGTCAACCTTTTTTAACGATACGGAAATGCAGAAAAACCCACAAAAAACACATTAAAAAAAGGAAGTGAAGGTTCTGCGTATTACTAACAGCTTTTCAAATCTTTATATACACACACAAGCAGGCACACATATGTATATATAAATCTACTAAAACTAACATGCAACGGGGCTTTTAGTATATTTACTGTTTTTTATTTTTTTAACTTCCCTTATGAATGAGATCTTGGGTGTTGATTTGTCCCAGTAAACATAGGATTGCCTCATTCTTTTCTTTTTTGAATATCTTTATTGGTGTTAAAAATTGATCTATTTCTTTTCCTGATTGCAAACATGAGAAACTTTTTTTAAAAAAAATTAAGAAATATATAGCATGAAATGGGAATGTCCTCAAAATTACACTTCACAGAGATAAACAATCACTGTGAAGTTAGCTTTTCCCTTCAACTCTTCTTTTTTTAAATATTTTATTGTGATTTTGGAGAAAATTTACATAGCATATTAAGTTCTCATTTAACAATTTCTATATGTATTATTCAGTGACATTTGTAACACTTTTCACAATGTGTTAGCATTTTTACTGTTTTCATTCTGGTTCTGTTTCCATTAATCCAGCTTCCTTGTCCCCCTTACCTTCTCGTTTTTTGTCTAGGGTAAATGTCGACTGTTAGGTCTCCTTTAGATGATTGTTTAGAGAAGCACTGTACTCACGGGTGATATTATTCATTTTATGAGCCACTCTGTCTTTTGGCTGTTAGGTGACCTCCAGGAATGGCTTGAGTTCCAAGTTTAAAGGGTATCCTAGGGCAATAGTCTCAGGAGTTTGTCTAGTCTCTCCCAGTCCAGTAAGTCTGGCCTTTTTTAGGAATTTGAGTTTTGTTCTACATTTTTTTCCCATTCTATCCAGGACCACCTGTTGTGTCCCTGATCGGAATGGTCAGTAGTGGTAGCAGGGCATCTAGTTCTTCAGGTCTCAAGGTAGGTGAGGCTGTGGTTTGTGTAGACCGTTAGTCCTGTAGACTAGTTTCTTCTTTGAGTCTTTGGTTTCCTTCTTTCTCTTTTGCTCCAGATGTGTAGAGACCAATAGTTGTATCTAAGATGGCTGCTCACAAGCTTTTAAGAGCCCAAACACTACTCACCAAACTAGGTCTCCAACTCTTTTCTAGACAAAATACTATCATTATTGTTTAGTTTTACAAAAGTAGGATTATATATGCACCACATTGCAGTGTTCACTTGCTCACTTATGCTCTGTCTGTATTCTCTCATACTTTGTAATACATTTTGGGCAACTTTTCATGTCAGTGGTGTGTCTGCCTCATCCTCTCTGTGGGCCATATAATGTTTCATTGTGTGGGTTTTCCATTGTTTATTTAATCATTTCCCTGTTGATGGGCATTTTATTTGCTTTCAGTTTTTCAGCTATTTATAAACAGTTCTGCAGTGAACCGTCATGTCTGGTACAGTTGAGGGTGTCTTTCCTTAAGATAAATTTGTGTAAGTTAAAATACAGAGTCGAGACGTATAAACATTATGTATTTTATAAATATTGCCAGATAGTTCTCCAAAGAATTTGTATCAATTTATACTAGCCAACAGTATATGAGAATGCTTATTTTTCACTACGCTTACCAACACCTGGGCCCTGGTGGCGCAGTGTTTAAGCGTTTGGCTGCTAACCAAAAGGTCGGCGGCTCGAATTCACCAGCTGCTCCTTGGAAATCCTATGATGCATTTCTGCTGTGTCCTGTAGGTTCTCTAAGAGTCAGAATCGACTCGACGGCAGTGGGTTTACCAACACCGGATGTTAAGCATCTCTTTAATCTTTGCCAGTCAGATAGACAAAAAATTTGTCTGTTTTAATCTTCTTTTGTTAGATTACTAGTGATGTTTATTAGTATTTATATTTCATTTTCTATGACTTGCTTGTTTATATCCATTGTTCATTTTCTTCTTGGGGTGTTTGGAAGGTGATGCTTTCAAAGCCTTTTGATAAGCTATAATCAATCCTACCTAGCTCTGAAGAAAAAGTATACTCCACGCATATATAGGATATTGTCAATGAAAAGTATGTTCTTTACATTTTTACATCAAATTAATTTTTTTATAGGAACATATAAACCTCGGGTTCGATGTTATGACACTTATCAATTATCCTTGAAGTTTGAAAGGTGTTTAGATTCAGAAGGTGAGTAAGAGGTTAGATTTGAATTCATGAAAACAGCTTTTTGTTTAAAAATTGGAGTAAATATATATGTAACAAAGCATTTGCTATTTCAACGTTTTTTGCACGTACAATTCAGTGACATTAATTTTGTTTATCATGTTCAACCGTCACCACTGTTACTAAATTTTTCCGTCACGAAAATAGCTTTTTTAATTTGGCTGCTTTTCTGCTTTTGAAAATGGGAATGCATGGTGTATTAGTTGTCTGTTGCTGTGTAACAAGTTACCACAAACTTGGTGGCTTAGAGAAATAGCGTTTATTAGTTCACAGTTCTATAGGTCATAATTCCATGCAGGCTCTATGCTCAAGGTGACGGCTCTGGGAAAGAATCTGCTTCTAAATTTGTTCCGGTTGTTGGGCAGAATTCAGTTTCTTGGGGTTGTAGGATTAGGGTCCCTGTTTCCTTGCTGGCTGTCCTCAGGTGGTCACTCTTAGTTTCTAGAGGCCCCCTGCATTCTTTGCCGCTTGGCTCCCTCCAACTTCCAGCCAGCAACTAACAGCTGATTGGGTCTTTCCTTTGCTTCAGATCTCTCTGACTTCCCCTTTTGCAGCCAGCCCTAGAAAACTCAGCTTTTAAAGGGCTCATGTGACTAGAGTGAGCCTACTCTGATGATCTTTCTTTTGTCATAATGTAATATAATCATGGCAGTGATGTCTCATCATATTCACAGGTTCTGCTCACATTCTCAGAGGATGTGGTTATAGAAGGGTGAAGGTCATTCTTAGAATTCTGCCGAACACTGACGGCAAAAGCTAAAGTGGGAAATTGAAAGTCTTTTATCAGTTGGTCTAGTGTTCGGGATTGAGGGAAAAGAAGTTGGTAGAATATGAGTTCTGTAAGATTATAGACATACTCTGCTACCTTGTTTTACCCTTTGCTTTTTGAAAACAATAGAAGCCCCGTGGGCTGCTAATGACAACTGTTTTAGCTCTTTTTTTTTTAAAGCAGCTATACTATAATTGGGTTAAAAGTTACTGTTATCTTTTTTTTTAAAGTAACAGTTTTTGAAAGTTTCTTTATGTATATTTGAAAGTCTTAAAGAAAATTTTTTTCAAACATCTTAGGAAAACAGAAGAATTTAAGAGTCATTATATTTTGTGAATTTACCTAGTTTATAATTGGCTTTAGTTCCGCAGAGAAGCTAGTTGATCTGTACTGAGAAATAGTAAAGCCTTTAATTTTCCATATGGTGTTTTGGGGGCAGTATAATGTGGAAATTTTATTCTTGTTTATGTAGGGACAAAAAAGAGAAAAGTAATATTTGTGAATAATTTCTGTGTTGAATTAGAATCCTTAGTATTGAGTTTGCATTTTCATTAAAAACTTTTGTCGATAATTGCATTTTTCCTACTATTTCTTGTTTTTCAGTTGTCACCTTTGAAATTTTATCTGATGACTATTCCAAGGTATGTTTGGTAGCATTGATTTGTACCTGCAATAGTCAAGAAATGAATGAACAGGATTGTATTTTTATAATGTCCCTATTGTTAAAGATGGCTGTGTAGTAAAATATAACCAAACGTTTTCTATTAATATATTTTTAGTTTGTCATATGTATGATACTTAGTATTCTCTAAAACAACAGCATAGAGATATCTGTTAGACAGTCTAATATTAATATTAGGTTTTCATATCATAGGTGAAGCCTTATTTATAGCTTTAAGAATTAGTAGCGGCCGTCTTTTTTAGACCATTTTGTATTCTAGATTTGTGGTTCTGATTATTGCATTAAAAATAGACTTATTTGCCAGGTTGCTTTCTTAGTCTTATCAAAAGTGTAAAGTGATATTGTAATGTTGTATGTTTAATTTTCTTAACTCTGTAAATGATTGTGGCATATTCTGAAACAGTTCAAGACACAGCTAAATAGATCTCTCTTTTCTTGGTACTATTTCAACTTTTGTGTGCATTTTTAATAGTTACAAGATTGTCATTAAAGTCCTTATTCAATTTTAAATTAACATATTTCAGTAATGTTAAACGTCATCTTAAAAACGAATTGAATTTTCTTAGTTGGCTAAGTATATTATTATAGCTTTGTCGCAGCCCCTCACACGGGGCATCATCTGTCGCAGCAGCTGCGAATGTCGGGACGGCGGAGACAGTAAACAAACACAACTCTTACAGAGAAGTGGGGCCAGGAGGGTCACTCTGAGGAGTCGACCCACGACTTCAGTCCCAGGAGTTTATTTATAGTCAATACAGCAAGCAGTGAAGCAAATAACAGAACAATGGGCTTTGGGTGAGTAACAATAAGTTTCGGGCAAGGGAGAAGGAATTCAGGTAAACAAGCCAATCAGTAACGGGACAATAGGTGACAAGTCTCAACATGCTGTGCAGCATAGAGGCCTGTGGGGGCTGCAGTTGTCAATAGTGTAGCCATGTTTAAATGGCATATATCCCCACATAGCTTTATATATTATCTTCAGTTCTAGAAACCATGGAGTACAGTTTATCCTTTTGCATATGGTAGCCATTTTTCATTTGTTTTGGAACATGTAATTTCATCCTGCATTTTCTCAAAATATAAATTTGCTTTTAAATACCATCTGCAGATTTTTAAGATGCCTTTGTAATACGTTAACAGTTTATCAAAGCCTGTGTGATAATTGTGGAGTTATTAAAATATATATCTAAGTGAATGAGAAATTACTCATTGAAGTTACTGTGCAGTGCTCTACTTTATAAAATACTGGTGCCAGATAAATGAAAGGCATTTATTTTAAGTCTTTCAGTTCTAAATTAAAGCTTGCAGAAAACCTGTCCATGATGCAACATGGCATTAAGAGTCTAATGGGAAGGTAGATAGGGTGTGTGTGTATGTGTTTAGGGGGAGAGAGAGGTTCAGAGTTTTTTTTTTGATTTTCTCAAATTTAGTGGTAATGATGAGATAAACACTTTACCTAGAAACCTAAGCAAACTGATTTTCTTGTTTCTTTTTTTCAGATTGTCTTCTTACATAATGATAGATACATTGAATTTCACTCACAACAAGGTTTTTACTACAAAACCAGAATACCAAAGTTTGGGAGAGATTTTTCTTACCACTATCCATCCTGTGATTTGTACTTTGTTGGTGCAAGGTATTGGATTTAATCACTCTTTGTTTTTTTCTTTCTACCTCCTAAAACAATTTCTGTTTCTAAAATTTCTTCTATGGTTTATCTATTTAAATAACTTGCTTGTTAAAATAAATTCAAAAGTGTTATGATTATTGTAAAAAAATAAATAAAACTTAGAAATCAGGGGTAAGCAAAAAAACAAAACCTAACCAAACTTACTGCCTACATATTGATGCATATTATTTATAAGTGGTATACTTACAATGTAAGGAGCCCTGGTGGCGCAGTGGTTAAAGCAGTTGATTGCTAACAGAAAAGTAAGCGGTTCGAAACCATGGGTGGCTCTGTGGAAGAAAGATGTGACAGTCTGCTTCTGTAGAGGTTTACAGCTTCAGAAACCCTGTTGGGTTGCTGTGAGTAGGAATCGACTCAGTAGCAGTGGGTTTGGGTTTGGTTTTTTTTATTATAATGTACTGTTTAATACCTGATGTTTCACTTAATAAAAGATTTATTTTTTAAAGTTTTTTTAATGCTAAAAATATCCTATGGTAGTTACATGTCCCAACGCTTAAGCCTGAAAATAGTGGTGGGAAATATGCAAGTCTGTTCAGCATAGCCCAGTTGCCCCAATTTATTAGACACGATATTGTTTTACTTTTCTTTCTCAGGTTTCTGTTTCATCTCCAAACGCTAGTAGCGCCCGCTTTAAGTTTGTTTCCACATCAGAGATGAGTTTATGTCCAGACCAATTTGTGGTTAAGGCCTTATGTGCTTACGGATTCTGTTTTTTAAAAAAAAAAAATTTGGGGGAAGGGGTCTAAAGAAGAATAAGCCATAATCCCTGTCTTTAGCTTGGTGAAGTGACTGGCTTATTTAGGAATATGTCCTTGACTTTTATTAGCCTGGTGTACTGTATCTGGGGATAGAGGCATAGGTAACCTAATAGACCAAAAAACTAACCCCATTGCCATCGAGTCGACCCTGACTCCTAGCGACCCCACAGGACACAGTAGAACTGCCCAAAGGGTTTCCAAGGCTGTAAATCTTTACAGAAGCAGACTGCCACATCTTTCTCCTGCGAAATGACTGGTGGATTTGAACTGCTGACCTTTTGGTTAGTAGCCGAGTGCTTAACCACTGCATCACCAGGGCTCCTAGGTAACCTAATTGGGGGTAATATTGTTGATGAAGCCAGTTTCAGTTCCCTTTTGCATGATATTTTAAAACTTTTTATTCTTAAATGTTGCCCTTTTTGATTCTAGAATAACGTGCTCATTTTAGAAAATTGAGAAAACAGAAAAGTATAAAGAAAAAAAGTCACTCACATTTATGCCACCCAAAGTGGCATAAATACAGTATTTTACTGTATTTCCTTTTAGTCTTTTTCTATATACATACATAGATTCATTATATATACTTTTGGATCTTGCGTGTGCATTTTTTTTTTTTTTTTACTTGCTATTGTAGTGCACATTCTTCGTGTTATTTGTAAGTAACATTCTACTTCATGACTTCATATTTCCTTGGCATATGATTGATTTAAGTCACTTATATATGAACACATTCATAAATTCATAAATAAGATGATTCTTTTTAGGTTTAGAACATATATTTGTATCAGTTTTGCAGAGGCAATTGATGTTTTATAAATGAATTGGTGCTTTATTTACTTAAAGAAAAGTCCATTGTAGTTTACCAGATTTTTAACTTTTCTTTATTACTTTGTAGCTCTGAAGTTTATAGATTAAATCTAGAGCAAGGACGGTACCTGAATCCTCTACAAACGGATGCTGCGTGAGTGTTTTTAATAACATTGCTATGTTTTTGATCAGGAGATGGTGCTGGATCTCACCTTGTTATCAAATAACCTGGAGTATTCCATTTAAGCAAAATTCTGGGCAACATAGTTAGAAATAGCACCATTAAGTTTTCTCTTAAACCAAAAAATTTCACTGAAAAAACCTGGTGATTTTTTTTTTTAGGAAGCTTTGAAAAATATACTCAAAACTTAAAAAATTTACTTAAAACAAAGCTCCCTTAGCTTCCTCACTAGTATCCTTAAAGTTTTTATTCATGGTTTTGTTTTGTGATATTTTCTTCTGTGGAGAAGTTTTGTATTAACTTTGAGTGCTATTTTTTATTTTTACCTTTTTGCTAGCAGGCATTTAAGGTTTTTTTCAAGTTTTCCTTTTTTCATACATTATAGTTTATACTTATGTTTTATTTAAAGAAGAATCCTCTAGGAATCAGTGTGTCACCACTACCACCATCATCATCATAGTAGTGAAAGCGCTTAGTATATGCCAGGCATTATTATTTTTCAGACATTTTACTTATATTAACTTACTTTAAACTCAAACCAGTTTTCGTGGGAGGTTGTATTATTATCTCCATTTTACAGATAGGACAGCTCAGGTGCAGAGGGATTAAGTAACTTGCCCAAGGTAACATAGCTAGTAAGTGGTAAAAGCTGGGTTACTTCTCTATGTATATAAGGAGCTTGTTGGATCTTCCTTATTGCTTTAAAAAGATTTCTGAAGGTTAGAAGAACATGTGATAAACAAGTACCTCTCTGTTACTTACTAGTTAGTTTTATGACTTTTAAAAGTTTCCAAGTAAGCTTCTGAGAATTTTTTTTCACATTGGCTTGAAATACTGTTTTTTTTAAAAAAAGAAAAAAGTATAGTAATTTCAGGATGCATTATGAAATAATAAAAAGTTATCTGCTTTTTAGCTGTATAATCTCCTGTTCATAATAATAGCTACGGTTTATCAAATGTCTTCTGTACTCTGGGTACTGTGCTGAGTATTTGACAGTTCTTTTTGTTTAATCCTCACAACAACCCAATGAAGTAGGTGAAATAACCGTTTTACAGAAGAGGAATCAACATACACAACTAGGTAATTGATCTGAGATCGGTATACCCAACTCAAGCTCGTCAAGTCTTAGTATTCTGATAGTTTTATAGTCCATGTTCTTTCAAGAATGCTACCTTGCCTTGGAAGAAAACAAATTGAGAAAGTGAAATAAGGCTTTATTCTCATTAGTAGTGTTTCAGAAGGAAATCGTTCCTTGTTGCATCAAGTAACAAGTAGAGTGTCACCCTGAGGACCAGAAACTCTGGTGACTGTGAGCCAAGCACTTAACCCTTTGATGCCGTGGCGTTTTTCATTTGCAGATGAGTAAGAGAATCTGCACATCTTCCTTCTGCACAGAATTTGAATTGGCTGTTCACTTAGAAAGCTTATTGAATCTCTCTGCTAAAGTGAATGCTAACTACTTTCATTTCTTTACTGTTTTAGGGAGAATAATGTTTGTGACATAAATTCTGTGCATGGCTTGTTTGCCACTGGAACAGTGGAGGTAAGCATACGTTGATTTTAGATTTTAAAATATTTGTTTTACATTCAATAATAAATGGAGTTTTTAGTTAAAGACAGAGTTGCTTGGTTCCTTAGAGGAGGGCACTAATGAGGTGACAGCCACTGGTGTGCTTTTTGTATTTGAACATTCATCTTTTCATGCAAATACACAGCTATTCCACTGACATAGACCATGCCCCGTTGGGCGTCTGATTTCCATACATTCACACTGATCGTCGCGAACTAGGTGGAAAGGGATAAGTAGGTGAGCACAGCCTGCCATCACGGCTGCATCACCAGCTGGAGGGCAGCACTGTGGACAGTCACTCATGTTTTTAATGGAAGGCAGTGTCCCA